AAGGGCTTTTGGAATCTCTGGGCGGAGCACATCCTCCACATGTCTGCCAAGGAAGCGGCGACCCTCTCGGCGCCATCGGTGATCTGAACGACGCCATCGGCCGTGACTTCTGCTGCAACGCAGTGTGGCTTGCCGCCACTGGCAAGGTGCAACAGAATTTTTTCTCCAGGCTTTAGTTCGCGCCTCGGCAGTCGTGGAAACAATCTCAAGCCAGCAGAATCCTTGACTTGCTCGTATGTTCGACAGCCTCGTCGCGCAAAGAAAACATGCGCGGGCCCAACGACAGTGGACGCCATAGAGCCAGCCTGTTCTGCAAAGCCCAGATGATGCAAGCTTGCCAGAATGCAGTTTCCATGCTTCAGCAAAATTTCTGGACAGGCGACGGTTTCTTTTGAATCAAGCTTGCCGAGCAGGGTCTTGAAATTATAATGTTCCTTCACACGAATTTGCACGCTGAAGCCGGTCTTCTCCCTGATGGTTCTCGCACAGCTTTCGCAAAACTCATCCACCGACGGCTGAGCAACCTGTCGATCCAGACGAATGCCATCGAAGTGCAGAGAGGTGTGCTGAGAGCCCAGAGTCGCTGCCTTAGCCAGCCACGCCTCCATAACAATGTCTTCGGCTATGTTCCAGAAATGAGTGAGGATGGATAGATCTGGCCGTTCTTTTGCCTGAAGAACTGACGCCCAGGCCAGATCATTCAGGGCGGTAGCTGCGACCCAGCGGCAAAACAGAGAGGCGCGCTGAAGATCATGAAGAAACTCGTTCTTCTCAAGGTGAGAAGGAATTCCGCCTCCATTGAACACTGTTTTGTCCAACTTCTGTTTCGTTTGTATAATTTCAGTACGCTTCTTGGCACACATCTGCAAAGTCTCCCGTATCTTCGGCCACGCCGGATGCTGAGGCTCCATGCGATCCAACAATTGCACAAGTAACGTAAAACAGCTATTCTCGATATCAAAGTCAAGAGTGTCGCATAGCGCGACAGACTGCCACGCCGTGCCTAGATGCTGCACGGAATAGCTTTCGGCGTATCTGCGAGACCTGATGCCGTCGAGCTTGTAGCTGTAGATGACATGCATCGCCACGTACTCGTCCTGGCCGGTGAACGGATGTAGAGCAGCCGAGCCAGAAGGCAAGATCGCCGCGGAAGCACCTTCCTGCGAAGCTGCAGCCGTTTCACCTGAAGCTTTTTTCGCCAGATGACGACGTACTGGGACTGCGAGATCACTTGCGCGCGTCTGTGAAATTTGGTCCACCATTCGATCCAAGAGAGATCGGGCGCAGGCCTCGTGCTTCTGAAGCTTGTCTGCTACGCCGCTCCAGTACACTATAGCTTCCTCCTTCTCGACGCCGTGCCGACCCCTGCCAGATTTGAGCTTCTTGAGAATTTCCTTGTGAAAATGCTGCAGCAGCTCCGAGTTAGCAGCACGACTTCCATTCGCTTCTATCTCTTCCCATAGCCGCGCAGCATCTCTTGTAGCGTAATGAACTCTGGCTCATTGCTCACGGTGAACATGTCCTCCAACTTATGCTTGCATGGTATAGTTGGAAAAGAAGAATCTGGAGCGGCTTTCTTGTCTGCAGGCAAGAAGAACTGCTTGGCCGTGAGCTGATCCCACATGTCCGGCGCTACATTGAACTTCTTTTTAGCGAAGCGCTGAAACCATGCCTTGGTGAAATAGGCTTTGAAGTTTGCAGTCGGTGTGCCTTGTCCAAGTCCGAGAGCAAAGCTTGTTGCGGCCGCGTTCGCCTTCGAGAATTCGCATACTGGCTCAAGCGGGTCCGCCGCTGGGGCCGCACATACTTGCTTCTGCAGCATGATATCGAGAGATGTCGCCTTGGGCTCGCCTTCCGTCTGCTCCTGGAAATCCGGGTTCAGTCGAAGACAGATTTAACAGGTTCAGAAACTTATACCATTTGTTGGAAACAGCATCATGTTCATGCATTGCAGCAACAACACTACCAAGCTCTTGACACTGGCGTTAGCACCAGAAACAAATCCTTAAATCTTCAGCCAAGGAACTGGTCCTCGATCGTGCGCAAGCAGACCTGCCTGGAACGCAAGGACTCGAAGCCATGCTGCTGCTTCAGCATGGCAGCGATGGCTGGCCCGCTTTCAAGGAAAGCTTTGGGGGTTGGGCCCTTGACAAAGATGCCGTCTGCTTCTGGGTCTGGATATTGTTCACCAAACGCGACATCATCGACAAAAATTGGCTTAGGATTCCACACCAAGCACCGCCGGTAAATTGAGTTGAAGTTGGTTTCCATCACGTTCTTGAACGTCATAACTCGATTGGTCTCGAAGCGTTTGAAACCAATGACACGTAGCATTCGAGTTACGAAGCCATATGGACGCCGGCCGGCCAAGTCGTCCGCAGACATGAGCTTTTTGAAGAGATCTTGTTGGAAGTGTTTGTGAGTCTCTGGCGCTTCTTGAGCGGTGATGATCCAACAATGCGCAAACTGCTCAAGTTGCTTACGCATTTCCTCTTCGTTGTGGAAACGGTTGGGGTCGATAAAGGCGTGATTAGGTCCGTAGACAGCGGCCAAATGGCTGCTGAAGAGCGACTGTCCGGTGCCTCCAGCAGACTCGCCGACGAAGCACCTGTCAACATTTTCACCACGTTTGGCCAGGGCGATGGCGGACAGGGTCGCTCTGTAGTAGTCTTCGTTGCACCAAAAGGTTTGTGTAATAAATCTTGCGTGCCTCTCGCTGGCTTGCTGCAGAACCGGGTCTGGTAGAGGCATCACGAGCGGGTGTGGAATCCGAATGTACAAATTGTTTTCGGGCGACGCGGGGACCAGCCTCACACGCTCGTTCTCGGACACATCATAAAGAACCGAGTAGTCCGCATACGCGCACCCAGACCTTCGGCAATTTGGTGCGTCACACCACTGTGCCAGAAACTGTAGTAAACGTCCTTGAATGCACTTGTCGGTATTAAATGTTCATATATGTGCTATTTACGCGCGTAAGGGTACACGTAATTGTCATGGACATAGTTTTAAGAACATTCCTGAATGACAAACCCTGAGAACGCAGCAGAACCATATTAGTAAATGTAACAACTACACAGGAAACCTAGATCCGAGAACTGAAAATATCATCTACTGGTAGGATTGTCCGCACCTTCACTACAAACAAATTAATGTGTCAGACACAAAAAAATGCTAAGTATTTCCGAGGTACGTTCATCCAGAAGATCTTTCTGCAGAGGAGCCAGGATTTTGGCTAGCATTTCCGCAGTCCAAGCGGGCCAGCCATGGCTCGCCTCACCTTCATCTCCTGCTCGCCTTCCTGCGCGCTGCCTTCCAGGCCCGGACGCCATGGCTTCATCCTCGGCAGCCAGCAGGAACTCCTTGAGGTTGTTGTATTGCAAGCGGAGCTGTGCGATCTCCGTGAGGATGCCCTGGTCCGACCGCGAAGTCGAAGGTGACATTAGACGAAAGATTCCTTCCAGCCTCAGCAGAAAAGTTTTGATCCTGTAGAACGTGGATTCTGGCGGCACGCCTTTGTAAGCCTGGATTGCTGCAGTCGCCGAGACAACATATTCTACCTGTTAACATTATTAACAATACCATAAAATGAAATACAGCTACTCGACCTCAGCAAAGAACCTCGAAAGCACCGTCATCATGATACAGGTAGCAAACTCCTCCATGCGCTCGAATAAAACGCTCTCCCTCGATTATCCAGATGAGGCCCACGAAGCCGCGCACGAAGAGGTCCGTGCACCGCGTTCTGCGCACGAGAATGGCTGCTGCGCCCACGCGAATCATGTCTTCCGGCCACGCAGGCTGATGCGCTCTAGTGTAAGCTAGAATTCTACGACACTGCTCCCTGACAGACCCGCTGATGCGTTCCTCGGATGCTTGAGGCCTAGCTTCGACTGAAACGTCGTAGGCTGCGGATGTGGCCGCAAAGAAGCCGTCGAAAGCATCCGAGCTTGTTGATGCGCCTGGCATCAGGCGTCTTTGCTTGGCAGCCGCTAGGGTGTCCTCTGACAGAATAGAAGGCAGCGCCAGTGCTAGTTGCTCGCGCTGCGAATCCGCATGTTCGTCGGCTGCAATGTCCTCTGTGTCCATGAGGTCGTACTCCTGTTCAAGACGAGCATCGAATGAGTCTTGCGAGGCTCCTCCGCGCATGTCATTGCCGCACATGGAACGAAAGCTATCATTTTCTTCTTGCGCACCTGCGGAAACACTTTGTCCGACAAACAACAAGACACGGCGACGATACAGGTTGGTGAAGTTTCCATTCAGGATCTCGCGATCATTCATCTCATTGCTCGCCGTATATGGCTGCAAACCAGCTGCACGTAGCTCGGAGGCTACCAAAGCATACGGGCGACGCCCGAACGAAGAGTTTTGCGTAGCGGCGCTCGATCTGACACCATCCTGCTGCGTCTGACCGTGCTTCTCAGCCGTTGACTCACGCAGATTGTCATTGCCACGCTGACCTTGCTCCGTTGCACCGGAAACATTCAGTGCGTCATGGGTTTTACAGTCGAACACTTTCTCAGCGGGAGCAGCACCGCCGCGCACATCTTTTTGGTCGGCTGCGAGGGCAAGTTTGTGTGTATCCAGCATGGCCTTTGCCTCTACGAGCATGTCCGGCACGGTGTCCAGGAAAGGTCCGTGATCACAATTATCCGGACGCAAGCAAACAACATGCATGGCCCGCACCTTCAGATCGTAGTATTTCTCGAGAATGAACTTATAAAGGTTGAGCTGCAAACGATAATGAACTCCAGCACTGTCTGCTAGATGTGATAATGGGTGCCTCATACTCGCCCAAGGGTTGCTGTACTTGTTACGAAGCTGTTTTGTTCTTTTCCAATCAAAAAGAATAACTTCACGGGTCGAGCACTTAGCCACAAAATCAATGCATCCTGCCAGCTTTTCCTCCTCGGCGAAAATGCACCACTCCGTGCGAAAGGCGATGAGAGGCAACGGGTACTCTCTAAGGAAACGAGCGAACAGACGAAGCTCACAGCAATCGCCCTGCACGCTGCTGCCGTTGAGAAGAACTTCAATCTGAAGGTGCATCCAGGTGGCCTCTGGTGGCAGCTTCCCGAGCATTGCGGCGCCAGAGCTGTTTGATTTCCTCTGGTGAAAGCGGGTGAAGCAAACCGTCCTCTGCCACCTTCCTGGCGTATTCCGGACGAAGCCAGCGAGAGCTTGCCATCATCTTGGAGATTGCATTGTCCGCGTCGAAATCCTGAGCAAAGCGATGAACCAGGCCTGTCACGGATATCGGCATTCTGCAGCCATCGACATGGTAGCTGTGCGTTGCTTCCGTAAAAGTGATGCGTGCATCTCTGGAATGTCCATACCTTCGAACGAGAAGTTCACATTGTACGTTGGGAAGTCTACACTGCAGAACAAGATCATCGCCATGGTCCGGAAGCTCAGGAAGCTGTTCGTTTGCAGGCGAGAAACAAGGAAGACGGATTTTTGCAGTTGCGTTCTCGCTGTAGCTAGGGCCGCAGTACAAACTAAAAGACTTGTGCCACATTCTCAAAAAACATAGGTAATCATCACTGTCCTTCGCTTCCTGTCTGGCTTCCTGCCGCACGAGAGCTGTTCTTCTTTTCGCGCTTAGACAATACCACTGCTCATGCGTGAAAGCAAGCTGCTGCCGGCCTGTGTCCTCATCTGCGCCGCCAGCGCGCAAGCTGCAGATGATGCCGGCAGAGGATGCTCCGCCACGAAAATCATCCTTCCAGATCTCTGCAGGAGAATCGGGACACATATCGATAAACTCGCCGCATGTGCCTGGCAGCTCGTTCTTGAGAAGATCCACGCACTGCCTGAGTTCGAAAAGATGGCTTTCCCATCTCCGCTTGGACGTGCTCGGATCCACTGGCGACATCACCAAATCCTTGCACACCGCATCTTTGTAAGGTATCAGAGACATCATTAAACGTGTCCAAGCACCCAACCGCTTGCAAGCACGATCCACATCGGAAATGGAGTGTTTTTCGCTGAGCCCTTGCAAGTTCTTACGCGCCTCGCCCAGCATGATCGACGGATCCACACGAGCCGTAACCTGCCTCGCTTGCTGCTCCACCAAGTTCAAATGAAATCTCCAAGCAGAAACAGTCAATTCTAAATCGAACGGATCTGACAAGGAAAGCCAACGCGACCGCTGTGTTACCATCTCTTGTAGATTCCTCAGCGCCACAGTCTCCACCTCCCGGATCCGAACGAAGATGACATACTCCGAGATAGCCGACGCAAGCAAAGACGACCCGCCGAGGAAATCCGATTCCTGCGAATCTCCAAATTCCAGCTGAGAGTGGCCGCCAATCCAACATAATCCATCATTTGCATGGGGCACTTCGGGCATCTGCGCATGGGGCCCCGTCTTGCGTGAGCCATACATATCCAGGAGCAACACAGAGGGCACACGCCCCACTGTCGATTGCGCAAATACTCTGCGCGTTGGCAGATGGCGCAGCTGATGGTTGCATTCAGGTGAATCGGCGACGGCAGCGATCGAACGCGCGGCATGGAATGCCTCGCACCTCTGACGCAAACCCAGAGAAACAGTTGAGCTAAAGGCGAGCATGAGTCGGGCAAGCCATCACGCAGTCGCGCCAGAGATACCGTGACCATCCAACGCAACCTCAAAGGCTCTTTGATGCCAGCGAACGCTAAAGCGATGAGTGCGCTGCGGCTGCAAGCAAAGTCTCGTGCGACCGAAGTGAGGCTGGGGAGGCGAATCGTTCAAGCCGAATGAGATTGTTGTGTTGTCTCGAAAGAAATTGTCGATTCTGCACCAGGCTCGTCTTCCATTATGCCAATCGCGAGTGCCGATGTAAAACCCTGTGGCATCGGCTGGCAAGATCAAGTCAAAGCACGCTGCACCCATGAGTGGTGTTGCGGACTGAAAACCACACCGCATCTGATTGGCAGGTTCAGCATGGGCTACCATGCTCCAATCTAGCACCAGGCGAGGCGGTAATTGCGAAAATATCGCCAGCTGATTGACCTTGGCTGCAAGACGTATAGTACAAAGCCTGCAGCTGTTATGCTACTGCACTATGCAACACTAAAACATATTCGAGTAGGAAATAGCTATATGCTTAAACATGACCGGGAAACGTGCACACTGACTGCTCGTGCTAGCTCATACGCACGAGCGGGAGCGTTGAGAGTCCGGGGATGATGGAATTCCTCGCTGCCCAAGTATAACCAGCGACCGGCCCATCGTCGAAGATTGGCTGCCAGCCGACGCATATCTCTAGAGCAAATTGCTAGAGAAACGAGATACTCGCTGGAGAAAAAAACCAAATAGCATATCCAGAATTTCATTCGGAATCATCACGTGGTTGTGGCCACCCAGAAAATCTATCGTAGGCTGGAAGACATCAGAGTCGTCCTGAGCACAGAAACTGCACGCATGCTTCATATGTTTACGCCGAAACTATACCGACTGACGAGCTGCGATGCTTCTCTTGGCCCATCGGCGACGTGGAGACTTGAGCTCCTCTGACCTCAGCAGCGAGATCGGTTAACCGTTACACTACTGTAACCTTATTGAAAACATCATCATACGCTATAGGATAACTCTAAGCATGACACATCGCAACGCCCTGAAGCTTGCAACGTCGCTGCCATCTGGATGAGGAAGCTGCTTCTTCAGCACGAATCCTGCACCAAACGGGGCACTGACATAGCCCTTTACCGGATCACTCCGAACCTCGTTTATGGCGGAACTACTCTCCATAGAATATAGCGCTCGTACCTAGAAATCTGGATGTTATACAAAGGTTTCTGGAACTAACACAAAGAATTTTACGATAACGTGTCTTGAGATGCCATCCCAAGTTATACGCCGCGCCCGATCTATGATAGACAATAACGTTAAGATCAGAAGAACCTAGTGGATCGGAACCACCTATTTCCTTGTTAAAGCTATGATATAGCGCAGCGTCTCAATCACCTGAATGATGATCCAACTTATACAAGCAATCCCAATAAAAGAAAGCCAGCCTTAAGTTAAGGGTTTCGGAAATCAATTTCCTATACATGACGTTCTACATACAAAATCAGATTTAGGTTATAAATGAAAAGATGCATCCACTGCAAAGCTGGAAGACTGAAAAATGTTTCAGCAATGACCGAGCCTATCTCGCAGAATGCGTCTGATTTCGTGGAGGATGTTCCATGCGTCATGCACAGTGTCAGCCCAGCACGCAGTGCGCATGGTTGGCGAGTACACCAACTTGCCTGGGAATCTGCCTCGAAATCCCATTGTTTTCACAAGCGGGTGCTCATGATCGATCTCCCGCGCACTGCGATCAATAGCCGTGGCAGTCGCCCTCGACAGATGAGTCGGCGTCTTCATTCCCGGCCGTCTGCGAACCACCTTGTACGGGCTGGAGTCTGGGATGTCTGTGAGAGACCACTCTAGATGATCCGCGATGCTCACGGGTGCGAAATCGCACGGAATCTTGTAGCTCGGGGCGCTCTCCCGGTTCTCCTGCTACTTAGATGAAGACAGTACGCAAGTTCGTTAAAACAAACATGAAGATTTTCTTGCCTTCTCTCGCGCGCCCTGATGTGTGGTTGCCGCTGCCGCAGACTTTCTTGCCAAGGCCGATGCTGCCTGCGTGCAATACAAAGAAATGAGTTCAAATGAGTTCTACGTCGCCACACAAAAAATACGCCCGCGTCTGCGCCTTCTTGGACGCGGTCGCAGGCCGGCTGTCTTCTTCGTAGGCCTGCGCAGGATGCTTTTGTATGGCTGTAAAGATTTTGGTTTCTGTTAAAATGTTGCTTCTACGCATCGCCTCTCGCACTCCTGGCAACTCAAGAACATCCCGCAGCGTATACGTCCGGGGCATGGGATCCGGTTCTGGTAGCTCACCTCCATGTCGAATGAGGTCTTGATGAAGGAGATGTTTCATCCAAGGCCTTCAGCGCTAGATAAGATTTTATTGTGTTGCTGTTTTTACATTCACTAATCAAAATATCGTAAATTAAAATCTTGGTGACACTAGAACGCATGATGCAAACGAGCCATAATAACATTGCTGACGCTTTGCCTAGCCGAGTCACTCCAAACCGGATCCAACATAGTCGCTGTCGGCAATGTCTGCACGGCAGCTGTTCTGCGTTTCTGCGGTTCCATGTTCTCCATCCTCTGCCCTATCAGCACCATCCAGAAGCATGAGAGGAACGAAAGGCTCAAGAAAGTCTGCACGAAGGGGTGCGGCGCGAACAGGAATCGGCATGCGCAAAGGCGGCGGTGAGTCGCTGCGCGCCGAAGTAAGTTCACGCACGATATCGGCAGCGGCCTCTTGCGCGTGCTTGCCTGCTCGATAATCGGGATCGCTGCTTCTTCCACCGCTTCCAGTAGACTCAGCCTGAACGTATGAGCTTTCGAGTTTAATGCTTACAAGCAAAGTACTAAAATTGACGAGCTGCAGCCAAAGGTTCGATTCGGAAAGCAGCGCTGATGTTTGCTGGGTCGAGAAGGAGCTTGTTGCTGCGCTCGCATCGAGACAGCATGGCCTGGAAAACTACCAACGATTTACAGCGGGCACTCAATAACCTTTTTCTTGCTTGCCAAGAAGCTTGTGGAAGCGCGGCGAGGTCCGTCTCATGCCAGAGATGCGTGCGGTTGCTGAAGTTAACAAAAATACCATCAGCGTTCCATCGCATCGCGATAAAGTGCTCGTTACGCCCCAAGACATATTCTCCGGGGCTCGGAACATTCGGGAACACGATCGGCACGATGGTTCTCCTTGGAATTAAACTATAGCGCACACTCATTCGTTATCGTGTAATATAACTTACCAATGCAAAATTAGAGTAACTAGAAGTTCTAGTCCAGTGTCTTGAAAGGCGCCAGAAACCTGCGGCCATGTGCGAGAGCCCAATACGGACCGTCTCCGTCATAGGTGACCTTGTACCCGTGAGCTTGCAGCGAGTCGATGAGGCCACAGTCCCGAAAGACACCTGCCAGCAATACAAAAAACAGTTCACTACGACATAACATATCATGATCGCCAAAGCCTGTAACCCGTTCTTTCTTGGGCGTCGGGTGTTTCTGCTTCCGAAGACCTGGTCATGCAAGAACAAAGCAAGCGACAAGGTTTGCTGAAGACGATGGGGTTGCACAAACTACCACACTTGCGCACTCTGGTAGCATAATTGCCTGCTCGCGGCTTGAAGCCCCAGTAGAACCGCGATCTGGATAAGCGGCGCCACTGCGGCGCATCCTGCCAAAACATCATGCTGAATTACACGCGAAAGATTCACACGTGGGCACGTGCCTGTGCCACAGGCATCTGCTTCGTAGTGGGCCGCAAACGAGTGAAAATATTCTTCGCGAGCGTATCCCCTCACGCAAGCATAACACTTGAGTGATATTAAGAAAAAACATAAAAGAGCCATGGCACACTCGTGTGTTGGGTTCGTGCGCACGCTGCACCGCTTTTGGCAGAAGCCCAGCGAAATCCCTGACCACAACAGACGTTGCTTCTGTTTGCGTGTGGCTCTACATGTAGGAAGCCTACCTGATAGATCATTCGCGTGTAATTTTACATTTTACATTTTTAATTTTTTACACGCTTTTGTAGTGTA